ATCCTCTGGCCCTGCTCTCCTCACTCTAAAAGATGTGACAATTCAGAATTTTTCCCTTCATACCTCCAAGTAGTTATTGTTATAGCCTAAAAAAGAAAAATGTCCCAAAGTAGAAATCTACATATTGAATGAAATCCTGCACTAAAGTAAAAGAAACCTGAGAAATGCGTATGACAGGTGCTTGCACTTTAGCAGGGATGGAGGGGAAAATTCAGAATGAAAATGCCTTGGTGACTGAAAAAGAGGGAGGGCTAACAGAAGGGCCATGAGCCAACAAAGATACAAAGGGAAAGTCAGCCCACATTCGGCCTGCTGTCTGTCTCTGTATCAACTCTGTGCGGCTGTCCTGCACAGACTCACAGCCGAGCAAGAATAGTAAAAGCGAGAGGCTGAAGCGATGAATCACTTCACTTATGAATAGCTGTGTCTAAACATGTAACTTCATTACACATACTTTGCTCCCAGAGGATTTATCATCATCTGTGATTCACACTGACTTGTCTTTTCCTGTCACACCAATGCTCAATTCCAACTTCACTGATCTGACTGTTCAGATCTCCTCACAGCTTCAGTTACAGTCTATTCACTCATTTTCTAGGAGAGTCTTCTCCTGTATGTGGGAGTTTAATGCTTCCACATACATAGGATGTAATACAATTTCTTCTACTGCCACCATTGGGCCTAGAATAACTAGGTAACTTCTTTATTCTACCAAATTATGCATTCCCAATGAACAACAGCCACGCCCTGAGATATATTCTCATTTACAGCGACTTGAGGATGTTTTACACACAGCGAACAGCAATAATTGGACATAGACAAATGGTAACGAACCACTTGCACTGTGTCTTACATCCCAGTTAGACAACTTCAAAAAATAACTTGAAGGCCCTCAGCTATATTTTTTTAGCTTACGTTTGATACTCAGAAGGATGAGAAAGATTTTACTGAATTTCCTACCTCTAAATTTTAATGAAACTTTCTGTATAATCTGCCTAGCTTCTCTAGTTCCTCATCCAACTAAAAATATCTCTCTACGTAAATTCATGAACCTAGAAAATTCTGGTACTTGAGCACTCTCCAGACATTTAAACCGGCACTAACTGATATTACTGTTCTCTATTACATTCAAATACTGTCTCTCCAAGTGGATTTCAAAGAAGCAGAGAAAACATTCATTTTTTTCTTTCTCAAATATACATAAAACATGTACCAAAACTGCCTGCAATAAAGATACTTGATGGCTCTGGTCCCAAAGATTCACATACTTCACAGGTAAAAATCAAAGTGTGGCCCAGAGATTGGCCTGACTGAGATATTTCAAAACAAATTCACCCAACTAGATGTGAAACAGTATCACTACTTCATTAAAATTGCTAAACCAGTTGCTCTGGATAAACCTAAAATTAACATATTTACAAAATTTTAGGTACTTTTGCTCAAATGACATTATGAAACAGACTTTACAGACTAGAATGACAAAAGATGTCTGCTGAAAGTAAAGAGAACCTGGAAATATTTTTTGAAGAATGTCAAAGATTAAAGCCTTCAGTATGGTTTATAATTCAATATGAAGAAAACAAAAATTCTCTCAACTGGACTAATAATCAGTATCATAATCAACAGAAATGATTCAATTTGTCAATGTTTAAATTCTTCTTAGATCCACAATCAAGACCCATGGAAGCAGTAAAAGCAGTCAATGCACATGGCAAATTTGCTGCCAAAGGCCTCTTCAAATTAATGAAGAGTAAAGATGCCTCTTTAAATGCTAAGGTGAGTCTGACCCAAACCACAGGTTATTTTTAGTTGTTTCATATGCATGGAAAAGGTCATGAATAAGTAAGACTTAAAAATTGAGATCTCTGAACTGTGCCACTGGAGAAGAATGTCAGTGCACCTAGGGTGCTTTTTAAAAGCAAACATGGAAGAAAAAAATAAAGCAAACATGGTGAGACTCATATTTTGAGCATGTTATCAGGAGGGGCCAATCCCTAGGAGACATCATGCTAGGTAAAGGAGAGGAGAAGACCCTCCTTTTGGATGATATGGATTCACAATGACTGCAATAATGAGTGAGCAGAGATTCTGAGAATGGTGCAAGGTGAGGCAAGGTTTCTTTTTGCTGTCCATGGGTTTGCTATGAGTAAGAACGGGCTCAAAAGCAAGTAACAACACAACAATAGAAAAATGGGCAGTCTTCGCATCATGATGTGTCACATGCCAAGAGTTACTTACATGCAAAGATTATGAGCTTTCTCATTTCAATCTCTATTAACAATTTACCCACACAAAATTCTAACTATATAGCTCATTACTTAGTTATTCCTAGAGAACACTTTATTTTAAAGGTAAATGGCATGAAAACATGTCCTTCTTAGCTGTATTAGACAAACTATGAATTTCTAAGTAGAAACTGACTGCTAGATGCTTTCAATTTACAGACAAAAAGTTTTAGAAATTAAAGACACCATAGCAATTATCCAAGCTATGTCTATCATTTTACAGATGGGAAGATTACAGCCTAGACAACTGGCTCAACATTACAAAGTTAGAAATCCAGGACTCTAAAATCATGGCAAAGAACCTTCATTTCACTGTGTTCATCTGCTCAATCAGGATAAGGCTACTTATCTCCAAACAGTGATGATACATTTCAAGTCACATTTCCTCCTACTATTTTTATTTACCAAAATATATTGGCAAAGAATCAACACTACATATTCCCTATTCCCACCTCCAGAAATGTGTTCTATTTTCTCAACAGTAGATACCAATAGCACTAAATCATGTACTTTAATTGCTTTCATGACCTGTGATACATTTCATGCCTCTGGGCTCAGTAGGAAGCTGCTATTCCACTTTTCACACTATCATGTGATGGAAGCCTGTGTTAGCAGTGTGCATTTGACAAAAAAAGCCATCATTCTCCCAGCTCCAGAGATCCATGGGGATCCACCTAATTGCAGCTCAATCTTACTAGCTCAAATAAATTTTTTCTTCATTTTTAACATCTTTCATTACTGAAATAGAGTTTTAACAAAAAATTCTGAGAATAATGATGTCTAAGAAGGGTGTAGATGCTTTCCACTAACCACTTATATTAGCCAGTACTTTTAGGTATTAATTTAGCATCCTAGTTTAATTTCTGTTCATACATCAGAGATCTATTACAGCTAATAAAGTGGTACTTTTAAAGATGTAAAAAGCCATTATTATTGTTGTTAGAAGCTGCTGAGTCAAGTGCGCCTCAGAGAAACCTATGAACAATAGAGCTATCTGAACCCTGTCCTATCCTGTGCCACCCTCACACTTCCTGACACATTAGAGCCCATTGCAACAGCCACCGTGTCAATCCACCTGGTCAAGGGTCTTTCTCTCCATTGACCCTCTATCTTTCTGAGCATCATGTTCCTCTCCAAAGAATAGCCCCTCCTATTAATATGCTCAAGGTAGGATCATCCTGTCTCCACCCTCTCCAAGACATAATTGTATTTTTGGTAATCCATGGGATGTGCAGTACTCTTCTCTGACACCACAGCTCAAATGCATCAATTATTCTGTCATCCTTATTCATTGCCCAGCTTCCAGATACACAGCAAGTGTTTGGAAACACTATGGCCTGAATCAGATGCATGTTAGTCCTCAAACTGACATCATTACTCCTTAATAATTTGGAAAGGTCCCTAACTGCACACTATCCCAGTGTAATGTATCTCCTATTTTCCTGACTGCTGGTACCAAGGGTGTTATTGAAGCCTATAAAACTAATTAAGAGTTTTTTTTCATTTTCTTTAACACTAAATAGCTCCAGCTGATTTGATTTCCAGATTATATCTGCTGCTCAGTATTTTCTTGTTCCCTCTCATATTGGCAGCCTTTGTCCACTATTATTTCCCAGTGCGCTAGTAGTCTGCCTGTGTCAGATCCTACTTCTAAACTATGGATTTAGAAACTAAATATTTCAATGTATTAAGAGTAACATTCAAAGGAAGTATAAATTTGCTTTTTGTAAGAGTCTACCAGAAAATCCACAAAAAAACAAAATTACACAATTTATTAATATAGTTGCTTAAAACTATTTTGGAATTCTCTCCTATTCCCAGCCATGCTTTGAAATGGATGAATTTTTACATGTAGTGTAATGTTCTTGGTATCATTTCCATAAAATTTGTCTTGAAGCCTTTCTAAATTTTATTTTATGGTACCTTCTGATCAAATCTGTTATAAGTACATCTTAAATCCATACCTACAAGTTTTCTACAATTAATATACTTTCATCTTGAGCCTCCCTACACTACGAAGATATATAAGTAATTTTTACTAAAATTACAATCTTCTGAAAAATGTTAGCTGTTATTGATTTTAACTAAAAAGACACTCTCTCCGATCACTGTTAAAAATTATTTTCTTTATGATTCAAAGGCAACAAAATAGGAGTTTTCATTTCTGTTTGTCAAAGTATCAGCCCCTAAAAAATTCCTCAAAAACAATCTATATGTGGTCTATCATTTCCAATTCCAAATAAAATTAAACTTCCAGTAAGAAATTTTTAACATTTTTAAGCAGTAAAAAAAAAAAAATTAACACTTTTACATGTTATGAAAACTCAAAATATTTTAAAGTTGATGCTAGCTTGAGTAGTTTAAAGTAGGAAAGAATATTAGAAAATAAACTTAAAATATGACATAGTTAAAGCAGGGCATATATACCTGAGGTGGACTGGACAAAGAATAACAGCCATGACAATAATTAGATACTATATGGGAGGTAGGGGGGATTTCTAATCTATGCAAAAATTCACTGATATTCCATGATCTTAAAAGGGATAAAAATTCCTCTCAAATTCTGCTTATGATATATAATAAGGAAAAAGAAAAACATTACCATCTATACAAGCCCTCCCCACACTTTAGAGGATATCGACCTCATGTAGGTTATGATTCCACCATCACCTCTAGACTCTATTTAACTTCACAAACTTTTACAGTTTTACTTACCTTTCTTCTCTGAGAGATGTTGAGGGCACCAAAGTCATTAAACAAGGATGAAGCAGGTGAGGTGAGAGCATCTGAAAGGGAAGTCACGTTAAGTTTGCAAACAACTCAGGGACCCATAAATCTAATAAATGATGACACCTGTAATAATAGGACTCATATGCCAGAGCATTAATCAAAGCTAGTATGTCTCACAATCTTCCGTTCAGATGTTTCCTTACTGAACAAAGTATCAGTTAGAGAATACCTCATCCAGTCACTACTTAGTACCTACTTATTTTAAAGTACCTATTTATAAAATAGGGAGCTCTGGTGGCCTAGTGGCAACTGAAGTTGTGCTGCAATCTTGAAGGGATTTGGTTTTGAGGCCACCAGCTGCTCTGGGGGAGCAGGATAGGTAATCTCCTCCCATGCGATTAAGTACCTCTGAAAACCCACTGGAGGGTCAGCTATGGGTTGATTCCGATTCTATGGTTCACAACTAATACTACTACATTTATAAAATAGGGAGCTCTAGTGGCAAGAATTCCCACTGCAATCCCGGAGGCAAGCAGTTTGAGGCCACCAGCTGCTCCGCAGGAGTAGGATGGGCAGTTTCCTCCTGCGCAATGAACTGCCTCTGAAAACCTGGTGGAGGGTTAGCTATGGGTCGGTTTCGATTCTATGATATATAACAACAATATTTATAAAATATAGCTTATAATGTTGTTTAGAAAGGAAAAAATTAGAGAAAGAAAAAACACTCTTAGCCATGTTATTGGGATCCTGTGTTTATGAAGAAAATTAAGTGTGCCTACAAGAAATAAATATGTTCTTAAGTCATGTCAAGAAATTTAAAAAAGGGGGTGAAAAGTGGAGAAGTCCATGATAATGATATCTAAATTTTAAAATTACATATTTATTTAAATTAATAAATTGTCACCATATTTTTATATTCTTGATAACCAGATAAGGTAAATTACTAATTTTTAATGATGGAACTGTTAGACATTTTATAATACAAATAAGGCATCAAATATTTTATAGGTTCAAATTTTTATCAGTTTGCCTTCAGAAGTCACAAAGTATCTAAGTTGCTTCTCATTTTACAAATCAGAAATTTTTATTGTCTTTGATTCTGAGCTTTAATTTTCCCAGCCTCATTAAATTATCCATAAAATCCTAGAAAAATTTTATTAGATGCAGTCATTCAAGAGAATCTTAAATCTTTTCAGAATGCAATACATATAAACTGGTACTTAATTTCTCTGCCTTAATTTTTAGTTAATTTTTATTAGAATACTAATTCTATTAATAACATTCATCTCATATTAACATTAAATAACCAATAATCAAACCCAAAGAGGCTAATACTAAACCGCAAGATGTAAAAATAAACATTCTTATATAAGTTATACTTTTGATACACTCTGAAATAGTAAAATTATTCATCTTCTATGCTATTTTTGATAGTATTTAAAGTTACCATTTAAATTACATGGAAATACTAAAAATGTTATAATCTAACGAATTTATTTTATTCAATTTTAAATGTAGCTTTATTTCAACAGCAAAAAAGCAAAAGAAACAAGGGTTGAAACTTCCAGACAGTGGTGGAGATGTCATACACATAAACACAAAAAGTAATTATTACAAAACAATAATAAAGTACAGGTTCTCAATCTCACCAATATTAATAACTAAACTCAATTCACTGATGGCTCGACTGTAACATATTTAGCAAAAAAGCATCCTTATTTAGTCTTAAGATGAGCTCTAAGAAGTTCTCTGGAAATTCTTAATCAAAAGACTTTAAAAGGACCACAATCTTTGAAAACAATAATTCCACTTTATGCAATAGATTCAAAAGAAAGTAACAAAAATATGAACACAATTTCACATGCATAGCCCTCTGGAATTCAATTGTTTTAAAAAAGCAGAAGAGGCAGGGAAGACAAAGATAGTTACCTAAACTATGAAACAAAAGCCTGGAATTTCATTTATAACAATTGAGAAGTATCCATTCTGTAATGAAAAGCATGTTTACTGTGATACATATTTATGTGTACAAATGTATGTATTTACATACATGTTGTTGTTGTTATGTGCCATCGAGTCGCTTGCAACTCATAGCGACCCTATGTACAACAGCCCTAAACTCTGCTCTATCCTGTGCCAATCACACTGTCTCCGATACACCCATACCAATTACCCCAGTCACTGAATCAATCCACCTCATAAAGGGCATACACATGCATAAAAAGGGAAAATCTAAGTCTAATAATTATTTCTGAATGAGTAAATAGATAACTTCTTATTTTCTTTCTTATATTTTATCTACATGTTTGAAAATATCTACCATGTGTATCTCCTGACTATGGAATCAATGAAGAAGAAAAGGGATCAATCTTACCATGGCCTGCATATGGCTTGGCACTGTCATTTAAAAGGCTTGGGGAACTGCTACTATTGGTCATTCTCTGAAAAATAAAATGCATACATATATAACCAAGAAATACAAAATTAAGAATTATCAGTCAATTACCTTAGGACTAGCTCCCTTGGCTTCTTCCCCTCCTCAATACATCTTTCACATGAACCTTCTTATAAATACTACTGGATCACAACAATTTATGCAAAACCTTTCAAAGATTCCATACAACACATCGAATGGAAATTTTATTCGCTAGCCAGCTCTTTAAAGCCTAAATTGCAGATCTACCCTCAATTTCACTTCTACAACTTCTTAATCAGGGCAAGATACACAGTTCTTAAGTGCTCTTCAAACAAAAAACCAAACTTACTGCCAACAAGTCCATTCTGACTCACTGGGACCCTACCAACTGCCCCCAAATGTTTCCAAGGCTGTACTCTTTACAAACACCATCTTTTCTTTCACAAAATAGCTGGTGAGTATTCCAGGAAAGATAGGTTCCACAAATGAATTTTAAAAACAAAACAAAACACCGAACAATCAACCCACTGTCACTGAGTTGACTTCATCTCATAACAAGCCTACAAGATAGAGAAGTGTTCTATAGTTCCTGAGGCTGTAAATCTTTTCTAAAACAGATTGTCTCTTATCATTCTTCCTAGAGCATCTGGTGAGTTTAAACCTACAGTCTTTCAGTGGGTAGTGAACAGTTACTCTACTATGTCATCTGAATTCATTTATGTGCCTAGAAAATAAGTTCTAATAGTCACTAGAGACAGTAACATGCATAAGCTGACAATGCATAAAGTAAAAAATATTTTAATATCTTCTCCCAAGGCATATTATATCATGTACATTAGACAATTTGAAGAGTCTACAAAAATGGGCTATTTCCTGTTCTATGTTCCATTCTCTCTTAACTTACTCAACAGCCTCTATGGTTTCTCCACTCTAACAGTCTGTTTATCTCATACCCATAAGTTTCTGTCTCAAATATATCTAATTCATTGTCTTGAAAAGTATGTTACAATCTCTGGATTCAAATTCCTATACCATTCTTGGTGACTCAACTTTTTCAGTTCAATTCCTACTCAATTTTTTATCATGATGAGTATCTGTCTAGAGGTGAATTAAATTTAAAGAAAAACACCAAAAAATACACACACACACACACACACACACACACACACACACACACACACGAAAAGGACCTAAAAATATAGCTCACATAGTGAGTAGTCCAAAAAAGTCAGATTACTACTAGGCTCAACTCACAAGGTATCATAGCTACCCATAAATGTAGCTATTAAAAAAAAACAAAACAGGGGAGCTCTGGTGGCCTAGTGGAAAGAAGCTGTACTGCAATCCCAAAGGTACATGGTTCAAATCCACCAGATGCTCTGCCGGAGAAGGAGGGACAATTTCCTCCTGTACCAGTCAGATTTGATTTGACAGTACACGCACAAAAAAATAATAAAATACAATAAATTTTAAAAATTTAAAAAAAACAAAAAACACAACACAACACAAAACACCTTTCCCTCTCCCTGGCTGAGTACATTTATTTATATGCATTTAAACAATACGCCTATTCATATGAAAGGGAGCTACAGTGACCTAGTGGGTAGAGTGGCGCTGCCTGGCTAAAGGCAGGTGGTTCAAATCTACCAGCTACTCCAAGGAAAAACATGTGTCCTCCCCTCCTATTTACAGACTCTGAAAACCCACTGGAGGGTCAGGTCTGAGTCAGTTCTGGACTGATGGCAATGAGAGCTACCTATAAGGAACTTCAGTTTTCATGTTAATAGAAGTTAAAATCACAAAGAAAATCACTGGCTTCTGACACACCCTTAAAATCAGTCCACCTAGAAATTTTAAAACGCCATTTGCATGTAAATATACTATTGTGATTATAGAGAAAGACTTCCAAAGTAATGCACTGAACACAGAAAAAAGGACAATGCATCATCTGTATTATCATCACAGCAGCTTTCCAATAACAAAACAGTGGAACAGTTTCTAGCTTCATTACAGTTTTCAAAACTTCCAATCCAAAAAAATAGCATTGTATGCATTCATGGAATAAAAGAAAGCTGATAAAAAAAACCAAAGTGGAGAAATATAAACAATTCAGAGATACCTACTAACTTAAAACTCAAAAAGTTCAAACTCATTGCCATTGTCTCAGAACCCTGACGCTGATGCTCCTATGGGGTTTTGGAAGCTATAAATCACACAGGAGGAAGCTGCCATTCTTTTTCCCTCAGAGCAGCTGGTGGATCAAATCACCAGACAGGTACCACCTTTAGGTCAGCAGTGCAACTTCCTATATGCTACACCACCAGAGTTCACTAATTTAAAAGGTCCCTCAAATTCTGCAGGTTAAAATTTAGGTGGTGGTTGTTGTTGTTATGTGCCGTCGAGTCAGTTTGTGACTCATAGTGACCCTACGGAGCAAAGAAAAAATAGTAATCATCTGGACAGAACTCAAAAAAGAACTGGAGAATAAGGTAGCAACAACAAATACTGGAAATTAAAATGTGAAGCCAAATCAATTCAAAACAACAATGCATTTTTAAAAGCTACGAATAAAATAAGTAACCATTAATGGTAACTGCCTCTAGTTAGGTTAACTAGGGACAAGGTTAACATGGTGAGACATGGGGAAAAGAATCACTCTTGTACCTTCTTTTAACTTTTATTCTATGTGTATACATCTACACACACGCGCGCGCGCACATCATCTACTCCAACAGTAAATTCAAAACTACCATCCATCACTACTAAGTAAATTTAGGTAATACACATATCAAATACACAGGAGTGGAACTAGTACCTACCCTCTCTATTCCCCACCACAACCCGCCCTAATCTCCAACCTTGAAGGTTCTCATTCACTCAAACCCCACAGCAGATGGGCTTACTTAGATCATATTGTCTCCTAAAATATCAATTCTCATTTAACAAATTTAGGAATAGATTAAGAACCTACAAGTCCCCTGCCCCTGGGCTCAACTTCATTGTTTAGTGCAATACAAATTTGTACTAACAATACCTGCATCAAAGGATATTTTGTTTCTACAGGACTTCCAAATCCATTGACTCCAATAAAGCTGGTGCTGAAATAGGAATCTGTGAGACTAGTATCAGTTAAAGCACCTCCATCTATTCCAGGAACTGAAAGAAAAGGAAAAGTCAAGTATTTAAAATTCCTTAAGAGGACAAAACATTAATTCAATCACTATGTTCCTAATTACCTTTTAATGTCTATCACATGTTCACCATACTTGTTTTTATTTACCTGTTCATCAACAAAAGTCAGCACCGAAAGCAAAGAAAAACTGTCTCCACTCTACAAATGTTAAAATATTGCGTAAGTTGACTAATACTTCCTAACACACACACAAACACAAGCAGTAATTTTCTATTCACTCTACTCTCAATGTCAGGCAGATGAGTTGAAACCAACTCACAGCTGACTCACCACTGGGTCTTTGGAAGTTGCAAATCATACATGAGGAGACTGCCGACCTTTCTCCCTAACAACCAGGCCACCTAACTTAAAAAACAAAGAATTCACCGCTGATCCTCCAGTGGATCTTTGGAAGCTGGAAATTCCATGGAAGAGTCCCAATGAATTGACACTCCCTTTGTGGTAGCAGTGCTATGGACTATACCACCAGAACTCCCTAATTTCCTGTTAGCCACCAAAACCAACATGAGAAACCACACTTGTATGTCCAGTTTCTTCATCAAGTTTTCCTCCTTATATATGACAAAAGGGCCAAACCTATTACCACTGTGTCAATTCCGATTCCTCACCTATCTCCACCAGTGCTCAGAGGCTGCAAATCTTAACAAGAGAAATCTATCCATATATTGCTCCTGAAGACTGGCTGGTAGATTTGAACTGCCAATCTCTGAGTGAACAATCTAACTCTCAACCTACAGTAAAATATAAACTACTGCATTGCTCCTGTACATCTTTATATGGTAAACAACCAAGTTTCTGAGGATTCTGAACATATCTCTCAGATGGCCAGCTGTCTAGTACTAACTCCTAATTCTGCAGGGAAAACAATTCTGTAGATGTTGCAATAAAATGGAATGTTCTTAGGGAATACTGATAGCTACATGTTGATTTCAGGGTAAGAGGAGATTAGAATTGTAACTTGCTGATGCAAGCCAATTTATTACAACAATGTATTCAGCAATGTCAATCTGCGTTATGCAGATGACACAACCCTGCTTGCTGAAACTGAGGAGGACCTCATGCACTTGCTGCGAAGGGTCAAGGACTGCAGCCTTCAGTATGGACTAAGGCTCAATGTCAAGAAGACAAAGATTCTCGCCACTGGACCAATTAGCAGCGTCAGGATGGATGACGAAGAGATTGAGAGTGTTCACAGCTTCACTTTGCTTGGCTCCACAGTCAACACTCTTGGTACTAGCAGTCAGGAAATCAAAAAGCGTATCGCGATGGGAAAGTCTGCTGTTAGGGACCTCTCAAAGGTATTCAGGAGCAACAGTGTCTCTCTGGAGACTAAGGTGCGCCTGATACAGGCCATGGTCTTTGCAATCGCTTGTTATGCATCAGAGAGTTGGACAATGACTAGGGAGGACAGAAGGAGAGTGGATGCTTTTGAGCAGCGGTGCTGGAGAAGAGTACTGAATGTACCATGGACTGCCAGGAAAACAAACAGATTCATCTTGGAGAGGATTAAACCAAGCTACTCCTTGGAGGCAAGGATTCTGGGGCTTCGTCTGACATACTTTGGACATGTTGCCAGGAGGGACGGGTCCTTGGAGAGGGACATCATGCTTGGGAGGGTGGAGGGACAGCGCAGGAGGGGAAGACCCTCTATGAGATGGATTGATTCAGTGACTGGGGTAATCGGGATGGGGGTGTCAGAGGTGGTGCGGTTGGCGCAGGATAGAGCAGGGTTTAGGGCTGTTGTGCATAGGGTCGCTATGAGTCGGAAACGACTCGACGGCACATAACAACAACAACAATTCAGCAATGTGAGTTGTTTTAAAATATTTTAATTTTGACTAAAGTTTGCATAAGAAGTCCCATCTGTCAATTTCCACATAAATTGTTCAGTGACATTAGTGACATTTTTCATGTCAACATCTTTAAATGTATTCTGGTTGTTCCAATTCCAGTATTCTAGCTTCAAATATTTATGGTTCATCTTTGCTTTAAGTAATTGTTAATCTTCTGGACTAATGAGGGTTTGGGTTCTCTCTCTCTCTTTCAGAGCATCAATTTAACAGGAAATATCCTTGATTTCGTGACTCATTCTGCTTTTCTACTGAAAGAAGACTTGGGTATAGTTTAGGTTCTAGGTTTAAAGTATGTGTCAGAGGGACAGTATCAGGGAGCTCTCTTGTCTCAAGTGGTCCAGTTAGTTTGGCCTTTTTACCCATCTTTCTCTTGTGGAGCATATGGTAGATTTCAATCCCATGTCCTTGGGTTGGCAGCCCAGCTCCTTACTACTAGGCCACTAGAGCCTTTCTAGAATTAGAATTTTGTTCTCAAGTTCTCTCCTTTTCTATCAGGATCAACTGTTTTGACTTTGGTCAAACTGGTCAGTCAGTTGTTAAAGTGATGAATCATGTAGGCACTCAGCCTTGTAGACATGCTTCTTCTGAGATTTTTATTACCTTCTCAGGCTTTTGCTCCTGACAAGTATAGACCAATAGTTTTATTTTATATGGCTGCTCACAAGCTTTTAAGACCCCAGACACTTGCAGTTGGATACAGAACTTATAAACTTTTTGTGATATTCCTGACCTTGATATCACATGAGACGACACTCTTGAGCTTTCATAGTCCTATGCTTTCAAATTTAGAAAGCCAAACTCAAACAGTATTTGGTTTTGTCTGTAGCTGTGTCTTCAATGAGTATGTGAGCCTGTCCATATATATCCACATTTACACATGCACATAGATATTCCATCTGTTCCCGCTTATGCATATAACAGTATCTATCCGTACAGGTATAAACCTACACTCATCTCTATGTAATCCCAGACTCATTTTCTGGTTTTTGCTGGAGTTGCTGCAATCTTATCTATATCAATTCTTTAGTATAGGTATCCCTTTCTCATTGCACTTCATAGTAATCATTTACTTAGATCATGCTGTACTCACTACACCCACATTGTTGTTACTTTTCCCATCACCAAGAACACGTATCTATGATCCTTGTATGTTTTAGTAAAAAATTGTATTAATTGTGATCAGAGTGAAAATTTACAAAGCAAGTTGTTTTTCATTCAACCATTCATACATACATTGTTTTGGAAAATCAATTACTATGTCAGAATATAATCCTACTTTCCCCACAATATCAATCTCTTCATCATGTATCATGATGCTGCCAATTGGCCCAGCGGTGAGAATCTCTGTTTTCCTGATGTTGAGCTTCAATTTGATTTTGAAGGCTGCAGTCCCTGACCTTCTGTAGCAAGCGCTTCAGGTCTTCCTCTGTTACAGCAAGCAAACTGCATTGGGAAAGTCTGCTGTCAGAGACCTCTCCAAAGTACTTAAGAGCAATGATGTCAGTCTGGAGACAAAGGTGTGCCTACACAAGCCATGGTCTTTGCAATTACTTGCTATCCATCAGAGAATTGGACAATGACTAGGGATGATAGGAGAGTTGATGTCTTTGAGCTGTGGAGTTGGACTAGAGTACTGAATATACAAGAACAAACAAGTTTGTCCTGGAGAGGGTGAAGCCAGGCTGCTCCTTGGAGGCAAGGATTCTGAAGCTCTGTCTGACATACTCTGGACATGTTGCAAGGCGGGGTCAGTCCTTAGAGAGGGAGGTCATGCTTGCTTGGGAGGGTGGAGGGATAGCACAAGAGAGGAAGACCCTCAATGAGATGGATTGATTCAGTCACTGGGGTAATAGGGATAGGCGTGCTGGAAACAATAAGATTGGCAAGGGATAGACCAGGATTTAGGGCTGTTGTAGAGTTGCTATGAGTCGCAGACGACTCAATGGCATATAACAACAACTTTCACATTAATCCTTCTAACCTATCTTTTCTTGCTTGTAATGTTTTTTTCCTTAGGTGCTGCTGCTGTTTGTAGTTGCTGTCCAATTGGCTCCAACTCAATGACATTCTCAACAAAGTCAATCTCTGTTTCTTATGATGTGGTTTATTTGCCCAGTTGTGAGACTTTTGTTTTATGTTGGTGCATACTCCATACTGAAAGCTATAGGCTCTTGAACTTGTCAGTAAAAGGTTCAAAACTTCATTTTCTGCTAGCAAGGTTTTGTCATCTGCACATGTCAGCTTGCTACTGAGTCCTTCTCTAATTCTAATGCCACATTCTTCATCATATAATCCAGCTTCTTGGATTATTTGCCATTTTTTTGTTTTACTGCATACTCATTTTCCCAATCTCCGCAGCAGTTAGAAGTGATGACATCACTGGGATCTAACAGAAAAATGTGGCTAGAAGTATAAATTCCAGTCTCAGACCTGGCTCACAAAACTCCTCACAGCTCTCTATTCTCTCTCTTTGGTTCTTGTATCTTGATAATAAGTATCCTGCCCTTCCCTATTCCCTTGGCAACTATCAATAAATGTTAGTCTCTCTCTGGGGAGCTCTTGGTAGAGTGGTCCAGAGAGAGCTGATCTGTTAAAGGTGGTGCCTCTCTGGTGGTTCAAATTCCCCAGATGCCCCAAGGAAGAAGAATGGACAATCTTTTCCTGTGAAACTTATAGCCTCTGAAAACCTTCTGGAAGTTCTGCTATGAGTCCATTCCAACTCAACAGCAAAAGTTTTACATTGGTCTATTCTGGTCTTCTAAGAAAATTGGGACCGTACAATATTTGTCCTTGTGTGCTTATGTCATCTGCCATTATACTTTACAGGTCCAACCATGTTATGCATCACAAATTCATCACTGTTCTTTCAGTTGAAGAGGATTCTCTTAAATGTGTGTATCTTATCTTGTTCATCCATTCATCTGCTGGTGGGCACTTTTATTGTTTCTGTGTTTTTGTTATTGTTAGTAAAGTCACAATGACCATAACCACTGTCATCAAGTAGGCTCCAACTCATAACAATGAAGTTTCCAAGCATGTAAATCCTTACGAATGGCAACTGCTCGCATTTCTCCTATAGAGCAGCTGGTGGATTCAAACTATTGTTAACC